GTTTCTAAATTTTCGAATACTAGGAAATCTTCAGATATAATTTTAACAGCAGCTAACGGCTCAACTATTTTTACATACGGGAAGAAACTTTTGAATATTAATTTGGGTTTAAGGCGTGAGTTCCTTTTTACATTTTTGATTGCTGATATTGCGAAGCCGATTATAGGAGCTGATTTTTTGTGTAAATATGGACTTCTTATTGATATTAAAAACAAGTGGTTAGTAGATCCGTTAACAAATCTATCAGTTAATACAATTTCGTACTTTTGCAATGTCCCTCTTCCGAAAATTTTTTCAGTAGATGATCAATATACAAAATTATTGAAGGAATTTCCTTCCCTTATTTCTGAGCCAGATTACTCAAAACCGGTTAAGCATACAACGGTTCACAGACTTGTCACTGAAGGAAACCTTCCTTTTTCTAAGCCAAGGCGCTTAGATGCTATCAAATTTAAAGTAGCTAAAACTGAATTCGATTTTTTGGTAAAAACAGGGATTTGTAGACCATCAAATTCATCCGTGGCATCTCCACTTCATTTAGTACCAAAGAAAGAAGTTAATGACTGGCGTCCTTGTGGTGATTTTAGAAGACTTAATAATGTGACTGTACCGGATCGTTATCCTTTGCCTCATATTCACGATTTTAATATGAACCTTAGGAATAAAAATATATTTTCAAAGTTAGATTTAGTTAGAGCGTATCACCAAATTCCAATGGCAGAAGAAGACATTTTTAAAACGGCGATTACTACTCCTTTCGGTATGTTTGAGTTCACCCGAATGCCTTTCGGGCTGAGGAACTGAGGAACGAAGTAGTAGGTAAATTAGATTTTGTTTTCGCGTATATTGATGATCTACTGGTTGCAAGTGAGAGTGAAGAACAACATTTAAAGGATCTACGGGTACTTTTCGAACGTTTGTCTGAGTATGGTTTGAACGTCAAACCAAGCAAATGCATTTTTGGTGTTCCAAGTACAGAGTTTTTAGGACATTGTTTATCTGAGGCAGGGATACAGCCTTCTGTAAACAGAGTAGAAGCGATTCGCAATTTTGAACGACCGAAGTCAATAAAACAAGCGCAAAAGTTTATTGGTATGGTTAACTATTACCATAGATATATTTCAAAATTAGCTGAGTTTACTGGAGTTATATATGATTTAATTAATAAAACAAGTAAAAAGCGAGACAAAATTTTGGTTTGGGATGACAAATCCATTAAAGCTTTTGAATGCATTAAAGAGAAGTTTGCATCTAAGATTTTGCTAAATCATTTTAGTAAAGATGCAAAATTGTCTTTAACGGTAGATGCATCCAATACAGCAATTGGTGGTGTCATACAGCAGCATTTCAATAATAAGTCTGAACCACTTGCGTTCTTTTCAAAGAAACTCTCTCCAGCAGAAATGAAATATAGTGCTTTTGACAGGGAACTATTAGCAATTTATTTGAATATTAAACATTTTCGGTATTTATTAGAAGGAAGACAGTTTACGGTTTTTACTGACCACAAACCCTTGATTTTTGTTCTAAATTCCAAAACTGAGCGTAGTCCAAGACAGACAAGGCATCTTGAGTTTATTGCACAGTTTACTAGTGACATACAGTATATTAAAGGGCAGACCAACATTGTAGCTGACACGTTATCTCGTGCGTTTGAAATAGATCTGATTAAAAATTCAGAACTTAATTTCAAAATTTTACAGAGTGAACAGAGTGTGAAAATTTTACAGAGTGAACCACTGATAGGATCGTCATGATATTTATGCAGAATTTCTTTAATTTTCCCGGGATTTGTCACGTATATAACCTCTGGGGTTAGTGCGATTGTTAGATTTTTGAGAACTTTGTTAGCCATTTGTATAAATTTGCCTACTGCAGTATAATTTCTTTTAAACAATTTGTCCCCTAAGGACAACTGTATTTGTACAAGTCCTAAATTGCCGGCTTCTTTTTCAAGCCTGGTAAAGAATTGTCCTAAGTCAATCTTATCCTCAACAATTAGGTTGCTTGTATCCAAATTGCTACAAATTTTCTTCCCTTTTTTGAAATATAATTTCGGAGGAGTGAGAACGAGCTCGACATGTCTTTTTACTTCAAATTTATTTAGCGCTTCGTATATTCTGGGGTTCTCTTTGTGACTTTCTTTATTTTCAGTATTACGTGTGCTGATGCTTTTTGCTGCTGATCTTGTTGTTTTCAATATTTTACTTGCTTCCACTGACATATCTTTTAAGTTTGTGATTGTTATGCGGGATAATGCATCCGCAATGTGGTTTTCCTTTCCGGCGATATACTCCACTTCAAAATCGTACTCTTCTAAATCGAGTCTTACTCGCGTCAGTTTTGATGAAGGACTCTTCATTGAGAATAGGTATGTTAAGGGACGGTGGTCGGTTTTAACTAGAAATTTTCTGCCATAGACATATGGTCTGAAGAAGGTTATGCCCAATGGATTCCGGCCAATTCCTTTTCTATTGTGGCTTTGTTGATTTCACCTTTTGTGAATGACCTGGAAGCGTAGGCAATTGGTAACTGTTTGCCATCGTGTTCTTGGCTAAGGACTGCCCCACAAGCGTACCCACTAGCGTCTGTTGTTATGTAGAATTCTTTATCGAAATCTGGCTATTGCAGAAGTTATGGACTAATTAATGCTTCCTTTAAGTAGACAAAAGCTTTTTGACATTCTTCTGTCCATTCGAAGGAAACATTCTTTTTGCAAAGCCTAGTTAATTTTCGTGAGTGTTCTGCGAAATTCGGTGCAAATCTTCTGTAATAGTTGCAGAAAGCTACGAATCTCTTAACTTCGTCCGCTGTTTTTGGTGTTGGGTAATTTTGAACTGTTTCAAATTTGCTCGGATCGGGTAGTATTCCCTTGTTTATGCATTTATGTCCTAAATAAGTTACCTCTTGGCTAAAAAATAGGCATTTATCGGGATGTAATTTTAGGTTGTATTTTCTACATGTGGAGAATACGTCTCTTAAATTTTTTAGCATATGGTTTTCAGAACAGCCTAATACAACCAAATCGTCCATGTAGAGAAATGCTTTAGATGGTTTGAGGCCTGCAAATGCTAGTGTCATCATTCTTTGGAATGAATTTGGTGCTACTGTTAATCCGTAAGGTAGTCTTTTGAATCTATATGTGCCATTTTCGGCTGTGAATGAGGTTATATCTCTGGAGTCAGGGTGTAATTCGATTTGATGAAAACCTGACATAAGGTCTAGGCATGAAAAATATTTTGCTCTTCCAAGTTGGTCTAAAATATCGTCAATTCTTGGAAGTGGGAATTTGTCTGCTGCTAGCTTTTTATTTACTTGTCTGTAGTCTACCACTAATCTCCATCTTTTTTCTGTTTTTCCTGGGAGTGATTTTTAGGGGACTAATAAGATTGGGCTATTATATTATGATATAGAGGTGTTAATACTTAGGGTAGCAGAGTTGAGCGTAGGGTATGTACGAGACCTTTGAATCCGTCAAATTAAAAGAAGGTGGTTGGTTTTTGATACAATTCAACTTACAAAAATATTTATTAAGTTTAGATTTATGTTCACAACTCGTTTTAATGGTTTTCTGTAACGATTGCAGAAAGTTTCAATTAATGGAATGCAATGATTAGCCAGAGTGGCGTTAATGTAAAATTGAACAATTTCAAAATGCGATACAATAATTAGCCAGAGTGACGTTAGTGGAAAATAAAGTAAGGTTACAATGCGATGCGGCGGCGGCGGTGGTCGTACCAGAAGTGACAAATTCAAAAATATACAAGGCGGACTCGTGCCACCCGCTTACAACTACAAAGCTACAAATTTAAATTCATTTCAAAATGGTATAAAATTAGGCGTTGCCACCGCACGCCGATTAAATAACAAATTCATATAATTTAGTCGTCGAAGTCGATGAGGTTACCCATGTCCTCGACATGCCGGCCCGCCTGCACCGGTGCTAGGTGAAGTAACCCTTGAAGCTTCTCGAGGGTCATTACGGCGCGGCTAAATAACTCGCGGATGCGTCGGTGAGCAAGATTGCGGCCACCCTGGGTTTGCTTGGCTGGTTTTTTGACAACTCGGCTGGCGAGCGATGGTCGTCTACGGCGGACTAGTTTGCTTGAGTCATCCCGGCGGTTGCGCTCAGGCGGCGATATCGTGGAGCGATGCAGTACTGTGTGGTGGGCTTTCCCACACCGGTGACAGCTGTCGGCTGAGTTGCAAGCGCTGGTTGAGTGCGACGTCGCCAGGCCATTTATGCAGTATTCATGTATGCGCGCGGACTCATATCGTTCGTCAGACGTCATGGCAAGAAGTGCACGGCAGAAGCGCAGCGGATGATAGCGGCAACAGAGGCGGCACTGGTTGAGTTCCATCTTGGTGCTGGAGATCTGTGGAGAAAAAAGGTCGAAGACAGCATTAGTACTACGCAGCGGTATAATCATTTCTGAGTTGAGATATGGATAGAATACTAGGATTGGCGGGCGCATGAGAAGGTGAGAAAACCTATGAAGAGGGCAGTAAACATAGTTTCGCAATGTTGCGCTTTATGGTTCCGGCCTGAGTACGAATATCAGCCACGCGAATATTTCGGTCGCGACCGGGGTGAAGTTGCACAACGCGCCCGAGTCTCCATTCGTTTGGGGGTAGAAGATCGTCTTTAACGACGACGAGGTCTCCTTCCTGAAGGTTGGGCTCTTGGCGCTTCCATTTATGCCGTTTATGGAGTTCCTTAAGATATTCATTTTTCCAGCGCGTGCTAAATTGGTGGTGAATAACCTTCAATCTTTGCCATTTGTTTACTAAAGAAGGATTTTCAGAGTGGAGTTCAGGCAACGAGAGTAGTGGGTACGTCTGGTTTTCCGGCGGTCTGACCCGAGATCCCTAGAAAAGGAGGAGAGGAGACACACGACTGGAATTGCGAAACATCTTAGTTAGCCTGTGAAAGAGAGTCGTAAAATGAATTAGTTGGGAAGCATAAGTGAAGTGAATTGAACGAAATATGCGTTTGGGAGAGTTATTGCGTGAAAGTATGAGTGAGCTTGGAGAAGGCGTATATAATCGCTGATAGGTTCGAGGTTTAGTTGTGGGATATGCTTCGGGCAAAGGAGTAAGGCCGCCAATCGTAGAGTTTAGCTTCCGCTCATTCAGGGTGAATCGCTTGTGATTCATTAAGTCTTTAGGTACTGAGATATTCCTATTAGTATTCTGCTGTTGGCGTGTCTTTAGAGTGGAGCATGTGACCTCACCTTTGGGATGTTCGGGGTATAAAGTGAGACTGATCCTCAAGTAACCAGTTGACGATGACTTTTCCGGCGAATGTGGCTGGTGATGATAATGACCACCGATATACGGAATCAAAACGGTCGTCGAGGTGTCATCTGAGTCGGGCTGCATCGAAGTTGACGCTGGGCTTACTGCTGGGAATCGCAAGCCGAATGTCTTCGGGTTTGAAGCAGAAGTAGATTCATGCGAGTTCGTAACGGGCTCCGAACTGTGCCAGTTTGGCACTGCTGAAGAGGAGATTGATTCAGTTGAAGGAGGTGACAACCGAGAAATCTCGCCAGATTCATCAACGCCTCGCCTTATACCGTCCTCGAAATAGATGACAGACGTAGAATTTGGTTGCTGCTGATGATAGTAGTCTTTGTTATATAACCAGGATTTGGGGTAAGAGAGTAATGTTGGCATTGGGGACCTACGTCGTGGAGCTGACGCGGTTTTTCCAAACTTTAAGCATTCTTCAACGTCTGCGGGGTTGAGAGTTGAATTTATGCTTCCGTCGAGTAACTGACTATTCTGAGTTTTCATTGGCGATAGAGCCCCTGGTGGGCCGGAGGCTACCGCCTCTGATAAATTTTGGGGTAGATATAGAGTGGGACTAATTTTTATTTTAGAGCATTTAAGGGAATCATTGGAGGATTCTATGCTGTCTTTGTCCTTTGGAGTGGAACTAGGTGTGGGAGATTTTCCAGTTGTGTCTATAGGGGGAGACACCTGAGTAGTGGACTGTATATTTGACTTATCTTCATTGGGGGCTGAAGTTTGTGTTACGTTGGGCGCAATATTCGAAATTTGCTGAGTTAGTGAGTTCGTATTGAGAAAGTCCAACGCTTCAACCATCTCAGCTTTGCAACTACTATATTTAGTGAAGCTTCTTTCATACATTTGCTTTGCTGAGTTACTAGATTCAGTAACTGGGCGGGAATGGAGGGTAAAAACCGTTGGGATATTATTATTATTTAAGTGCGGGTTCGGGAGAAGCCTAAAGGAGTCCATGATACTTTCCCAATTTTTATCCAAAATGTCTAATTTTACCTTTAACAACGACGCTGAGAGGTTCCCTGTTGAACGTCATGACCATCTTTGGCAAAATAAATCTAATATATGGCATTCAAACATAAAATCTTTATAGAGGGTATTTAAGGATACAGTTTGTGGGCGACTTTCCATTATAATTGTGAGATCGAAAGGGTGGAGAACGGTAAAAAACTCAAAGTTTATTATTTATGTTAATGCGTGCGCTTATTTATTTTGTCCCACTGTGCTATTTTATATTTTTATTACACTGTGCTATCTTTGCTTGTACAGTGCAATATTGAGCAAGTTGGGGAAGTATGTACAGCGTTCAATACATATATGTGGCTATCGAATGAGAAAAAAGAGAGCTAAAGAAGCGCGTATTTATGCACGTACGTATGTATGTAAAAGAGACTTTATATTTATAAGGGTGGCTGGTATTTTATTTAGTCAGTGAAATCAAGTGGATCAAAGGGATGGCCAAATTAATGGTGATAATTTTGGCATATGTGAATCTTAAATTTACTCTACTATTTAATTAAGTTCATGAATATGTATATACATACATACATACATATGTATGTACTTCATTTTTTGTTGTGTTTTAGTTGCACCCTATTATATTTATTCCTTGTGATGCTGTATTGCTTTAGCGCGTCTGAGCCCAATAGTATATATTTGTACGTGTGTACGTATGTGTACGTATGTGTATTTGCTGGAGTTGGAAATTTTGGAAGCGCAAAAGGTGGTTGGAGAGCGAGAGAAGCGAAATAGATAAATATGCAAGAGGTTATATATATATACGTACGTACGTAGATGGGAATACCGTTTGTCTTTTCGGCTTGTGAGTATGTACGTATGTATATATATATTTATATGTAGGTATGTGTAGCAAATTTTGTAGCAGAATCGTTTTTCAAACTGGGTGAATCTCTATGGCATATGTGGAAGAAGCAGACAAGAGAAAAGCGATTTTTGTTTCTTTTGGGGTACCGCTGATTAAAACACAATTGCAAACACAATTTCGTGTGTTATGCTCCTGGGTCATGCGTATATGTGAGTATGTACGTGTGGATATGGAGTAAACTTTATGTATGTACGTACGCATGCAAGTGTCTTTGCTATGCGACTGCCTAATAGCGGGTAGTTAGACAACGGGTAGCGGGTATTGATCGATGTATATGTATATACGAGGTACGCGCGAGAAATATTCATCAAAAGGGTTCAGTTGTTAACGTATGTATGTGCATATACATATATACATGTACCGTACGAGACAAATGAGACGGAATATATGTTATGTATTTGCTTAGCGCGCAAATTTTTCCTATACCCAAATTTACGTGGGTACATATGTACATATATGTTTATGCCACTAAATATATTTTCGAGTGCCGTATGGAAACAATGCCCGATAGGAACTACGGGACTTAAAACAATCAGAAGTGCGGTTGTACTGAGACGGGGTATATAAGTATGTATATATGTACGTGGATTTTGTATTATGTATGTGCGTATATTTTATAGCGGTTTTCTGAGGGGAAATATCGAGTTAAGCGGGAATTATGTAAATGGGTACATATATTACGGAATATACATATGTCTCTTGAGTGTTGTTACTTGCGGTAAATTGATAGTTCAGCGACTTTCAATTTACCGTGCGAGAAGACCGCTACACAATAATACGTATGTACGTTTGTGGCAATATACGAAAAATAAGATGTGGGCACTTACTCGTTTAAATGGGTACCACCTGTGCTATTTTTGTGGGACTGTACCACTTCTGCTCGCGTCCTTTTTCCTGCCGTCCACACCTTGTTTTTTTTTGTTGTGGCGCTTTCTTATGCCGTTTTCTGCTGGCGCCAATGCCGTCTGTGCTGTTGCTTCCGTTTGGATGCTACGGGTCGCCGGGTGTACTTTTGCCTATTTAAACCCCTGTAGGGATGATGTTGATTGTTGGACCAACTGGAGTTTTATGTAGCCTTTACACAAAGATATTATAATCGGCTTCATACAACGCCCTCATTTAATAAAAAATTTGTTTTGTTGAAATTATCGCAATTTTACTTTTTTTTTTCTTTTTCTTTTGGCTTTTTGTTTTTTACGCACTATAGCTTTTTTTGTTTTTTACGCACTTCGGCCCTTTTTTGTTTTTTAAGCACTTCGGCTATTTTTGTTTTTTACGCACTTTGGCTATTTTTGTTTTTTTCGCACTATGGCTTTTTTTTGTTTTTACGCACTTTGGCTATTTTTGGTTTTTACGCCCTATGACTTTTTTTGTTTTTTACGCACTTTAGCTATTTTTTTTTTACGCCCTATGGCTTTTTTTTTTTTAACTTGTCTTCACTGTCTCTTTTTCTTTTTCCTGAAATCCGCACTTTCTCTGCCGTCTTTTCTTCACTGCCGAGTTCGATTCTCACTTTTTAATTAACTTTTCTTTTCTTGGTCAAGGGTATTTTTTTTCGCGCACAGCCTAATTCTCCACTGGCGTGCTTTACTGCAGTTTGTTTCACGTTGTTGTTTTTTTCCACTTAATTAATTTAAATAGCCTTTTTTTTCTCGCGTTTGCGAACCGCGTGAATTTATTTAGTTATTTTAGTTTAGTTTTTTTTTTGTACTGACCGCTTTTTATCGACTGCACTCCACCGAACGAACCGCACCAACTGACCTCGTTTGAAAAACTGAAAAACTTCTTTTTGCTCGCTCACCGGTAATAGCAAAGGGCGTACATATGCTTATGTACTTATCTATGTATGTGTTCTTTTGCTCACTTTTGGTCGCGGGTTCCCTTTTTGACGAAAAGGACCATGTTAATACTTAGGGTAGCAGAGTTGAGACCTTTGAATCCGTCAAATTAAAAGAAGGTGGTTGGTTTTTGATACAATTCAACTTACAAAAATATTTATTAAGTTTAGATTTATGTTCACAACTCGTTTTAATGGATTTCGGTAACGTTTGCAGAAAGTTTCAATTAATGGCATGCAATGATTAGCCAGAGTGGCGTTAATGTAAAATTGAACAATTTCAAAATGCGATACAATAAGTAGCCAGAGTGACGTTAGTGGAAAATAAAGTAAGGTTACAATACGATGCGGCGGCGGCGGTGGTCGTACCAGAAGTGACAAATTCAAAAATATACAAGGCGGACTCGAGCCACCCGCTTACAACTACAAAGCTACAAATTTAAATTCTTTTCAAAATGGTATAAAATTAGGCGTTGCCACCGCACGCCGATTAAATAACAAATTCATATAATTTAGTCGTCGAAGTCGATGAGGTTACCCATGTCCTCGACAAGAGGGTTCTATTATATCATCTTCTATTAACTTATTTACCTGTTTGCTTATTTCTCCTTTTTGCGTTTGAGGCAATCTAAAATTTTTCATGTAAACAGGAGTGTCTATGTCTATGAATTCTGTGCATAGTGTTGTTAACTGAGAGTTGACAAATTTTGGAAAGTTTTTTGTTAATCTTTTTAATTTCTCTGTATCGTTGCAATTTTTATCGTGTGTGGTTGTTTTAATTAGTGTGTACTCGTCTAAATTTTCGGTATTGATCTTGTAATTTTGAATGGTTGTGTTTTTATGTGTTGTGTTGATAATTCTAACGAAAGTTTGATCTTTATTTGTAATGGTGTTTGCTATGAAAATGCCCTCAGATAATTGCTGGTGTGGGATGAAGATGTTTTTGTTGTCAGTGTTTACTTTGACTTGTCTAATCACTTCGGATCTAGCAGGGATCGTAATTGTATTAACAGATAGACAATTTGTTAGGTGCATCGTTATTGTTTGGGGGAAATCATATGGTCTTAGAATTAGTTTATCCTCTGTTTTTCCATAGTCTAAAAAACAATTGTACTTCTTTATGAAATGTAGTCCTATTATTCCATCGCATGGAATTGGAAAGTCGTCTTCTACGACATGAAATTTATGGTAAATTAAGAGGTCATCGCCTTTTAAGTCTGCTTTTATTGTGCCTAGTGTGCTGGTTATTCCCTGACCAATGCCTTTTAAATCTGTAATTTGTTCTGTATTTATTTGGTGATTTTTACTAATTTGATGCTTTTTTATAATGGAGATATCTGCTCCTGTATCAATTAAGAAATTTGAAATCGAATTATTTAATGAAGTCCTCGTAGCTATATAGCTGTTGAGATGTAGATTTAGTACGCATATTTTCCTATCTACTGATCTTGAAGTGGAGTTTCTTGATTTTCCGTCTGGGTGCAGCTGCGCACGTTACGGGTCTGGTTGTAAGGTCTATTGCCATTTTGAGCTTGTGATCCGCTTCGGTTATTATTATTATTATTATTGCTGTTGGACCTCGAGTTATTGTTGTATCTCGGTTGCGGTCTAAATCTCCTACTTTGGTAATTTCCATAGTTGTTACTTCGGTAAGCTCCACGGAAATTACTCCGGTACTGACTCTGCTGTCGTACATTCAAAATTGTGTTTGAGCTGCCCGTTATTTCGGTACAGCTGTTCGTAAATTTAGAGATTGCATCGTTCATAGTTGTGAACGTTCCCGCTTGCATTATCATTTTGAACTTGTCATTGGAGCAGTTTTTACACATTGCTTTGACTGCTGCTTGGGTTGAATATCTCCTTGCTAAGTCTGGGTTGAGTCCATCCGAGATATATGCTCCTTCCAATGACCTAGTAATTTTTTCTATTTCTGCTGTGTATTGATTAGCAGTTTTGCTACGTTGTTGGATGTTCAGGAGTTTAGCGGTTAAAACTTCTACTGATTCACCCTTTATTGCGTTTTTTAATTTTGTTTTTATCTGTTCTATTGTGTTTTCGGTACTGATAAAATTTCCTGCCATGCCTTTTAGCTTGGTTTTTATCATTGTTATCGCTAAGGCTTCGTGATCATCTTTGATTTGATCAAGTATATCAAGGGCGTCTAGGAAACTGTGTAAGTTCTCCGGCTTACCATCAAACTCTGGTAGCACTGATGAAGCAGTTTTAATAAATTCGACTACAGTTTGCACCATTGTGACGTTTATGATTGGGATGTCTAACGGTTTCTTTTCTTCCACTGATGGAGTTTGGCTCAAGGAAGGTGATGGAATCGGGCTCTGAGCACGTTCTGATAAAATTGAATTGAAATCGATCTGGATTTTTTCCTCTACTGTGGTTGGTATTGTTACTTCTATATTGTGTCTAGCTAAAGAAGATACCAACTTATCTCTTACGGCGAAGAAAAATTGGCGGACTTCTTTCTGGTGTTCTTTGGTAAGTATACGGTCTGTTGTATTGATCACCTGTCTTATTCTTTTTAGAGCTTCTAAAATTATGTTCAAATGCTTTACTACTGTTTCTATTTTTATAGTAGCGGTTTTATTTATGCATTTGTACGACTTACTAGCTTTTGTTTTTTCTTCAGATAATACGTCGTATATTTCTTGCCATTGGTTCATTTCGTGGAATATCGAATTTTTTGTTTAGACGCGTTGTTGTACCGTGTACAATTGTCTCAGTTTATTCTTTATATAATTTTTTAATAGAATTGCAATTGCGACAATTAAAAATGTAGTTACGCATGCGAAAATAGTTAACCATTTATCTGAGATTTCTTCTTTGTTTTCTATACTGAGTTTTGGTTCATACCTGACCAGTTTATTTTCAGCGTTTTTCTCTCCAGAATTTTCCTTACCGACTTCGTATCCTGCTATTCCTATTAGGATACCGTGTAATACGGTTTTCCACCATGCCATTTTCAAAAAGAAAATTAAAGTCGTTATGTGTATATTTTTATTTATTTATTTACTGAAAAGAATCTTACAATTTAATTTAATCCTCATTAGGGAATACCATCCTCATCATCCTACATGTTTCTTCTTCTCTAGTTGTAGGCATCATCTAAAGTAGGTTCCCTAGTCATACCTATTAGACTCCATAAGCTAATTCTCTCTCTCTCTCTCTAACTTTTAAAGTTGCGTTTTGATCCCCCTTACGTGGGTTTTTAGAAAAATCCTTCGATATTCCAATTTACTCAGTTTGTTATTAACAAGTTTTATTATTTTCTGAAAAATTAATTATTTCTTAACATATTTATTTTTTCTTTTAATCTTAATCTATCAACCGTATTTGTTGTTAGATTCAGTAGCCTAAAAGTTTCGGCTATTTCTTTCTTTTTTTTGAATTGTTTACCTCCCCGTCTCCTTTTGTGGATTTTTATAGGGGTAGGTATTTTAGGAATTTCTTCCTTTTTATTAAGCTTATTCCGTCGCCGATACTCTTCTATGGTAATCGGCGTCGGACCTTGCTTTGCAGTGTTACGACTCTTAAGGATTTTTTCGGAAATTTTTATGAGTTCCTTTATGGTGTCTTCGCACTTTTTAAATACTCTATTGAATTCCTCCTGAGTCGTAATCTCCTGCATACTTATGTAAAAAAAATTTTAATGCTTATAAGAAGCTCTTTTTTTCTTTGTTTATTTTTCAATTAACTGTTGAAATAATTTTTTTTTTTTTTTTTTTAATTTCCTAAGCAAAATTACAAAAAAAAAAATTTCCTAAGCAAAATTAATTTTGCTCTTGGTTAAGCGGCCATGAGGCGTGCTCAATTTATCTTAATTTATTTATACTATCCATTTTAATTTTTTTTCTTTGCTGCCTTGGAGGGGTCTGGTTGCTGTGCTGCCAGTCAGATTCCTTCAAATATTCCACCCTTTTATGCTATCGAAGCTCTGGAATCATCCTTTGATAACCCAAGATCATATATGAGAAGATGTTCATCCGGAGATTTCGCAGCTACGTTTTGAGCGAATAGAATCACAGCAGGAGCTTCATCATCTTGCCCGTATGTTACCAAAAAATTAGACTTAGTGCCGTTGTAAGGTGTTATAACAGTCAGTGTCGCGCGGTCTTTTTAGCGGTTTTTCCGCTGACTAACGACCGAAGCCTGGCAGGATCGCCATGTAAATGAAAGAAACGCTTATATGTAGCGTCTTTATTCGAAATTACTTTCTTTTATACAAGATTTCTTACACTAATTTACACTAATACTTACAAACTACAAATGTGCATATGTTATGCTAACTCAGCATATGTGTCATAGTTATTTTGGCAGTCGCACTGACAAACTGACACTGA